TCATTGGCCGCCTCGTATAGCAAGTTCGCGTAGAAATGCGCAAATTCTATCGAGTTTGGCGACAACTCCACGGCTCTTCTAGCAGACTCTATGGCGTTGCGCAAATGCCGCTGCTTGGCATTGAGGTCATCGATTATGGATGCCACCTTCACGCACACGGTGCCCTGGACTCGGTGAATTAGGGCGGAGTGAGCCGAGTTTTCGTGCCGCGAACAAGACTCTTTCATCAGCCGCAGCGCCTTGGTGTGGTTCCCCCGCCGCAAAGCGGTTAGGGCTCGCTCGCATTCTACCTTAATCGCCGAATAAGACGAAGCGTCCGATTCGCCACCGGCCGGTTCGATCTTGGCCCCGGCTTGAGTCTGCGAATCATCGGGAACCGCCTGTACCGTGGCGGAAGTAGTACTGGGATTCGCTCGTGAGTCCGGTTCACCTCCATCTCCCAGAGCCGCCCCTGCCCCCGCCGCCGCCGCCGCCGCAACAGTAGCAGCAGAAGCAGCAACCGGTGACTGTTTGGAACGAGGGGCAGAATTTTTCTTTCTATGTCCCATCAACAATTGAGTTTACAATAATCTGATTCGCATGCATATATTGATGAATCAGTGGTATCTATGTGTATCTATGTGTATATGCATATGTGCGGTAGGTATTGGTGTGGTTTACGTATATTGAGCGAGAGAAACACTTACTCGGGGAAATGCAGGAGGCTAAAGCGAAGATTTTACAGAGAGATTAGAGTTCGCGAGGAGGATCAGCGGTGAAATCGAAGCGAATAGTGGAAAAGTAGGAGTCGTTGTGTGTGACAGAGGGACAGGCACCTACCCGTTGATGGGGGGGGTGAGGTTCGACGGAAGGAAGAAGAGAGATTAAGAAGCAGATTACTTATATATCAACTACGATTAATCCTCGATTACTTTACTAATTAATTAAGCTTAGGGTACTAAACTTAATTTGATTATCCTTCTCATTTTCTTTTTCTTTTTTTAAATTACAAAATGTGATTTTTTGTCTCCCTTATTTACGCATTTTTAAATTAAAAATAAAACATTGCACAAGACAATTAAGAGACAAAAGTTGCCCCTTGAACGACTTAGGGTTGGAATAAACTACTAATTCTGTTGGATTTAATTATTAATTATTAAATAATGATAATTACCTAATTATTATTATTTAAAATTTAAAAGTGATTAGTTATTATATTCATTATGAATTTTAAAAAAAAATATATAGAAAATAAAAAAAAAAAATTGCTTTTTCTCTCTCTCAAGTTTTGTTCCTGTGAAATTATATTTGTTTTATAGATTATATGTTAATTTAATAAATTTTTATCGTATTTTATTCTTGATATTTTATTTAAAAAATATTAAAAATAAAAATAAAATTACAATAAAAAAGAAACTAATTATTTTACCTTCAATTCACATAACAAATCAAATCCTAATTTAAGAATATTATTTATTTTAAATCTATTACATAAATTCAAATTTTTATTAATATAAATACGCTTGAAATTAAAATAAATAATATTTTTAACTCTTTTTTATTTGGTAACAAAATAAAAATCAATTGATTATATATCGTGTTTAAATTAGTTAAATTAATTAATAGTTATAAATTTATTTTAAATAGGTGAATTTAAATTTTTTTTTCTTATAAATTATGCATAGAGATAAAAATTAATAATTTATTTCATTCTTTTAATATTTGTTATTTAATTATAAGTAAAAAATTAATTAACGCATTTAAACTCCTAAGCATACATCAAAATCTTGATTAGTTAAATTAATTAATACCCATAAATTTAATTTTTACTATTTTCCTTTTAATAGATTATACATGAAGTTGGTGTAAACCATCTTTTTTCATTATTTCAATCTTTGTTGTTTTTGTATATATAAATTGCAGGAAACCAACAATTAATCTTAATTTAATTCATTATAATTAATTCAAAAATTATTAAAATTGCTAATTTTCCTATAAAAAAACAAGTAATCCTTTCTAGTAAAATCATATATTATATTATATGAAAATTTTAAAAGTAAGTTTTAAATTTAATAATTAAATTTATTCAAAAAATTAATAATATTACGTTATAAAATGGGCTGGGCTTGGTTTCCATCGAGAGCTGAGTTGTCGGTATCAATGTTGGGCTGGGCTTTGATAGAAAACTGAATTGGCTGGGCTGTGTTTAACTGATGAAGATAAAATGGGCCTGAAAATTTCGGTAAAAGAAAAAAAAAAAAAGACGATGACCGGATTCGGGTTGGGTTTGAAAAGAATTGGGCTGTAATTTTGATAGTACGACTTAAACTCGAGTCATCAACTCTCGTATAAGAGTGTAAAAGACGCGCACTTGATCGATTTAAGCTTCTAAAAGTTTTTAAATGGTTTCAAGATGGTCGATTGCTCAAATCTAAGAAACATACAAGCTTAATTTTACTGTAAATTATAGTAACTAAATATTCTATTCAACTTAAAATTTCCCAGATTAAAAATTTAATTAACTGTTATTATAATAAATATCGCAATTATATTAACTAAAAGTTCATAAACTGTCTAAACAAAACTTTGATTTATGAAGTCACAATTGCATTAACTGAAAATTCTACAGTAATTAAAACAATCTAATAGAAAAATATGATAAATTCCTAAGTCAAAATTTTAATTAAAAAGAAATTTTATTAATTAAACTAAAAGTTGTAGTAAATTGAAACTAATTAATTAAAAACTGGATTATCTAACAAATTAGAGATGTGTTATAATTAGAGTTATTGAAGCTTGCTATTTTTAGTTTCCCCACAGCTTAGATAACATCACAAGCTTCTACACTTTTGTTTGTTTGTTTACTTTTTTTCTCTCTAAAGAACAAACTAGTGAAAAATCTGTTGCATCAGAATTCTGTTTGTTCTCAAAATAAAATATTGTTATTCAATAAAGTCGGCCCTCCACTAAATACGAAAGTTAAAAATCGCAAAAAAAACTCTCGAACAATTATAGTAGTATTGAACATTGTTTAAGGTTCTACCATGTAGAACGGGAGTTACTTGAATACAATATTTAGAATAAATTATTACGAAAAATACTTTGCAGTTTATCGGTTTGTGCATAAAAATACTTTATAAAACTTAAAATTTTAAGCGAACTATTAAGTCAGACAGAATTTTAAAAACACTAAAATTTTTATGTACTCAATTAATTAATGAAGACAGTGAGTAAGATTATTTTAGTTTGAGTGGTATTGTAAAACCCAAATTATAATTAGGCAATCACTTAATATATCTCTTCAAATGGACCTGCACTAAAGTCATCACCTCAAAGTTCTCTTTCCACACAACTGCTATGAACAACCAGTATGAATGACTGAAAGTGAAACCTACCCAGACTCTGAAATACCGTGTTGATCTTTTTGACTCAGTCAACTCAAGCTCTGGTAATTACTGCTTATACCCATCACCTTCCAATCACATTTCTAGATACCCAACTTTCAAATTCACTTCTTCAACCTTTCAATTTCTTGTTTCTTCTACTTTTTAGGCAGTGGATTGAGCTGCATTAACTATAATTTTGATTACATTGATTATTTAGTCATAACAAACGTTTCAACTTTCCAGTGTCTTACTTTCATTTGCTATAAATTTTCTGTGATTGGTGTTTGACTTTGTGGTCCATTCTGACCCACTCAGAAGATTAAGTGGTGAAAAAGAAAGAGAAAAAAGAGAGTAGAAAAGTGAACCACTCAATTCTACCCCCAATCATAGAATTCTAAGCTCTTCATACTCCTTTATATAAACTTTAGTTCATTCCAAGAAAACCCAGAAAGAAAAACAAGCCAACCATGGAGAAGAATGACTCCATGGAGAAAGATGATACAAGTAAGATTACTTACAGAGGATGGAAAGCAATGCCCTTCATCATAGGTTAGCAGAATAAAAGAGTATTTGTATTTTTTTTTTTTATGATTCCGTTTGTTAGGGTTTTGATTGATTTTGAAGATTATAATTTCAGGAAATGAGACTTTTGAGAAGCTTGGAGCAATTGGGACTTTATCAAATCTCTTGATCTATCTCACTACTGTCTTCAACATGAAGAGTATTACAGCTGCCACTATAATTAATATCTTTAATGGTACCACAAATTTTGGTACCTTTATTGGAGCTTTCTTATGTGACACTTACTTTGGCCGCTACAACACATTGGGATTTGCTACTTGTGCATCTTTTCTGGTAATTCAACACTAATATATAAATTTTTATTAGTATAAAAATTTACCACCCAGAAGAAAATTCATGTAACCCAGAATTGTTTGTTTGTTTTTTTGGTTTGGTAAAAGGGGTTGCTTGTAATACAATTAACAGCAGCAATCTCTAAGCTTCATCCTCCCCACTGTGAAGCAGTAGAGAGTAACAATTGCAAAGGACCAACAGCAGGGCAAATGGCTTTTCTACTAACTGGATTTGGCCTACTAATAATCGGAGCAGGCGGTGTTCGTCCTTGTAACTTAGCATTTGGAGCAGACCAATTCAACCCCAATACAGAATCTGGGAAAAGAGGAATAGACAGCTTTTTCAATTGGTACTTCTTTACTTTCACTTTTGCACAAGTGATTTCACTAACCTTTGTTGTCTATGTTCAATCCAACGTCAGCTGGGCTATTGGTTTAGGAATCCCAGCAGCTCTGATGCTTATTGCTTGCTTAGTCTTCTTCTCGGGTTCGAGAATATACGTTAAAGTGAAAGCATCTGGGAGTCCATTAACCAGTGTAGCACAAGTCATAGTGGTTGCAATCAAGAAGAGAAAGTTAAATCATGTTCACCAACCTTGGCTCACCCTTTACAACTATATTCCTCCTAAGTTCATGAATTCCAAGCTCGCTTACACCGACCAATTCCGGTATATATCTAACTTCTTTGTACCTAAAACTGATTTATATCTAAGTTTGATTAACTGAGGAAACAAAAACATTTTCAGATTCCTTGACAAAGCAGCTATCATGACTCCTCAAGACCAGAAAAACCCAGATGGATCACCAGCTGATCCATGGATACTTTGCAGTATGCAACAAGTAGAAGAAGTTAAGTGCCTGCTGAGAGTAATTCCTATCTGGGCTTCAGCTGTTATTTACTATGTAGCCATTGTTCAACAACATACTTACGCAGTCTTCCAAGCACTTCAAACTGATAGGCATCTTGGAGGTAGTAAATTCCAAATCCCAGCTGCCTCCTACTATGTCTTCCTCATGCTGAGCTTGACCATTTTCATACCCATCTACGATCGAGTCATTGTCCCATTCCTTCGAAGAATAACAGGAAAAGAAAATGGCATAACCATCCTCCAAAGGATGGGAATTGGCATATTCATATCAGCAATCACCATGTTTGTTTCAGGCATTGTCGAGGAACGAAGAAGGACAATAGCTCTTACGAAGCCAACTTTAGGAGTTGTACCGAGGAGAGGCAAGATTTCGTCAATGTCAGGCTTATGGTTGATCCCTCAGCTCGCACTAGCCGGACTAGCAGAGGCTTTTGGTTCAATTGGCCAAGTTGAATTCTACTACAAACAATTCCCAGAAAACATGAGGAGCATAGCAGGGTCTCTTTTCTTTTGTGGAATGGCTGGTTCGAGTTACTTGAGTACCTTGTTGATATCGATAGTTCATAGAACAACAAAAGGAGCTAAAACCGGAAACTGGTTATCAGAAGATCTTAACAAGGGCAGATTGGATTACTATTATTACTTGATTGCTGGTTTGGGAATGTTGAATTTATGCTACTTCTTGGTATGTGCAAAGTGGTACAAATACAAAGGAGGTAACAATTGTACCTTTGAGGCCAATACAGAATCAACAAAGCAGTCTGATATATAATACAAAAATTCAGTATTGTAGCTCTATACTGGTTTTCATAAAGAACCCATTAGTATTTTCAGTCTTAGGATCTGTTTTCATGGTGTTCTACAGTTAAAAAAGAGGTATTTTCATGATGAGATTGGAACTTTAATGGTTAATTATCTTTTTCTCAAGCTCATTCTGCAATGCCTGCAAAACTATGGATTGATTTTATTGGTATATGTGATTAACAACCAAAACTTGAACAGATAAGTTTTAACAACCAAAAAAGTAGTGGGTCAAGTAGAATATATACAAGACAGAGTATATATATATATATATATATATATATATATATACAAGCTTAAAAGAGTCAAGAGAGAGAAAATTTAATTTTTCTTTAAAAATATTTTACTACAATTACCCACAAGCAATTTCTCTCCTTTTGCTCACCAATAAATTCCCACCTCTCAAACTTGAGTATTTTACTAAAATTACCCACAAGAATATTGACTAAGAAGAAGAAAAAAACAAAGAAAAACCATCTTGACTTTTGCTACATTGCCTTCAGTTTTGAGCAATGTAGATTAGATGCCATTGACAATTAACAATACAATATTTATATTCATCATGTTAGGTATATGTATATATATATATTTATGTATAATTCTTAGCTCATCTAGTAGGAGTAGAGGTGGGGAATATTTGATTTATATATATATATATATATATATTTTTTTTTTTTTCTGAGTTAATTCATTTTGATTAGTAAAAATATTTATTTGGTAGCTTGAATAAGCCTTTGAATGTGAAGGTTTGTCTTTGAAAAATAGAGATTGACCATCATACAAAGTCTAAAGGAGTAACATTTTCATTTTTCATAAATTTGCTTTAAATACTTATTGACTCTTATATATATATATATATATATACACATATACATACACATTTTTTAATTTGGAGTAATTAAAAACCCAAAAAAGCAACTCTATTGTCATGCATTTAATATATAGTTTGTCAAAATAATGGCCATTAAAGTCTCATACTCAAAAAGGTATTTATGGTTTATAAAATTAATTCTCAAGTAAAAAATTTAAAATATTTATTCAAAATTATTAATGTAATTTTGTTGGAAAATTAGTAAAATTCATTTGTCCTACCCTATAGGGTGTATATACATATACATATATATATAAATATACACTACTTTTAAAAGAATAATGCCATTAGCTCTCAAAAAAAGAAAAATTTTAATTGAAAGAAATTGATCTAAAAAGAGAAAATATTAAAATAAAAAGAAAATCAAAATATCTCAGAAAATTTAAATAAAATTTAATTATTCCTCAAACCTACACGTCTGTGCTTAATACTGCTCAAGCTAAACCGGCTATGGCGGCAAAGGCTCGTATTAAAAGCTAAATAGGCCCAGGTGGAGAACAAAAAAGTGTGTGCCAAGAGGTGAAACGTGCCAGCCCAGCGAACACCCCGAAGAAGAACCAGACATGAATATGTCACCTTCTTACCAACTCACTCATCGAGCAATCTTCCTCATTTTCGGTTCAGATTCTTAAACTTTTTTTAATTCTTGGTTTTTATGGTTTCAAGTAGAACCCGCAAAAATCTGCACTCGCAGACCAGTACAGAAATGGAGAGAGCAGCTATGGCAGTCGACAAGGACGAGCCCAAGATCAAGTACAGAGGTTGGAAAGCCATGCCCTTTATCATAGGTGACTTGATTGACTGACTGACTGACTACTCTTCTTCATTTCTTTCATTTATAGTTCTCTAAATTCATCTACCCAACAAACTTTTCACCACCCTGCAACTCTGTTTCCATCCAAGATCTGATTATAATTTCATTTTCCTTTTGCTACTTGTTATATTGAATGTTCAAATTGCTGTTCTAACCCAGATTTGGTTACCCATTGAAGAGTATTATAGCAGAGGTTTTTTTTTTTTTAATTCTATTATTTGGGTGATGAATCATTGATGCCAATCTCACTAGACTTTGGCTAAAATTTCCAGGGAATGAAACATTTGAGAAGCTTGGAATCATTGGGACTTTATCCAACCTCTTGATCTACCTCACCTCTATTTTCCATATGAAGAGCATTACAGCTGCAACTATCATCAATGTCTTTAGTGGAACCACCAACTTTGGTACCTTTGTTGCAGCTTTTCTTTGTGACAGTTACTTTGGCCGCTATAACACACTTGGGTTTTCTATAATCGCTTGTTTCCTGGTAATTAATGATCATTTTGCTTGCTTTCCTCTCTAAATTTTGCTAGTCAGTCAGAAAATAATTAATGGCAGTATTTATGAACTCAGCTTTTTTGCCATCTGTAGTAACTAATCAAGGAAGTAAGTTAACTGAGAGTAATTGTTTAGTAAATATTCATGTAACAAAAACCATTTTGTGCAATATATGGGTTTTAACTTATAATTCCTAGATTGAAAATCTAGAGTCTTTGATGCAAGTTGATTTGGAGATGTTTCTGATTTAATACTAAGAAAAGGATGTTTCTAATCAAATTCATTTACTCCCATTCTTTTCATTGAAGGGGTCGCTTGTGATACAGTTAACAGCAGCAATTCCGAAATTGCATCCTCCCCCCTGTGGCAAAGAAGGTAGCATATGCGAAGGGGCAAATGCAGGGCAACTGGCATTTCTAATGATGGGCTTGGTACTGCTTATAATAGGGGCAGGTGGTATTAGGCCGTGTAACTTGGCATTTGGAGCAGACCAATTCAACCCCAAATCAGAATCCGGAAAGAGAGGAATTGACAGCTTCTTCAATTGGTACTTCTTCACCTTCACCTTTGCTCAAATGGTTTCCTTAACCGTTGTTGTATACATTCAATCAAATGTAAGCTGGAGTGTTGGTTTAGCAATCCCAGCTGCACTCATGCTTCTTGGCACTATAGTGTTCTTTATGGGTTCGAAAATATATGTGAAAGTGAAGGCCACAGGGAGTCCAATGACCAGTGTGGTACAGGTCATAGCGGTTGCCATCAAGAAGAGGCGATTAAGGCCACTGAAGCAACCTTGGCTTTCTCTTCATAGCTTCATTCCCCAAAAGTTTGTCAACTCCAAACTTCCATACACAGATCAGTTCAGGTACCTAACTTTTGTTGCATTCGTTATTATTTTAATTGGTCTGAATGTTAGGCCTATCAGTTAGTGAAAGCAGTAGTTTTTGCAGGTTCCTTGACAAGGCCGCAATGGTGACTCCTCAAGACCAGATAAACCCAGATGGATCGTCAGCTAATCCCTGGAAGCTTTGCAGCATGCAGCAAGTGGAAGAAGTGAAATGCCTACTGAGGGTGATTCCTATTTGGGTCGCTGCTGGCATGTACTATACAGCCATCATCCAACAGATGACTTATGCAGTTTTCCAGGCCCTTCAAACTGATAGACGTATTGGAAGTAGTAACTTCGAGATCCCTGCTGCATCTTTTGTTGTCTTTTTGATGCTGAGCATGACCATGTTCATTCCCATCTATGACCGACTTCTTGTCCCATTCCTAAGAAGAATAACGGGAAAAGAAGGTGGCATCACACTCCTTCAAAGGATGGGCACCGGTATGTTTATCTCCATTCTCTGCATGCTAACATCCGCAATTGTTGAAGAGCGACGAAGGACAATAGCTTTCACCAAACCAACTATAGGAGTTGCAGATAGAAGAGGTGCCATTTCATCAATGCCTGGTTTATGGTTGGTTCCTCAACTTGCTCTTGCAGGACTTGCTGAGGCATTTACCGCCATTGGCCAAGTTGAGTTCTACTACAAACAATTCCCAGAGAACATGAGAAGCATTGCAGGGTCCCTCTACTATTGTGGCATTGGGTTTTCAAGTTATGTGAGTAGCTTATTGATATCAATTGTTCACCAAACCACGGGTGGTGCTTCAACGGGAAACTGGCTACCAGAAGATCTTAACAAGGGGAGACTGGATTACTTTTATTACATGATTGCTGCTTTGGCAGTCATAAATTTCGGCTACTTTTTATTATGTTCAAGCTGGTACCAATATAAAGTTGCAAAGAGTGACACCTCTGAAGTCAACGAAGAGAGCCGGTAGCAGCATTAAACAATTATCAGGCAGGACATATCCAACAGACATCTTTATCTCAGCTCCTTAAAAATGCATATTTAATATGAGCACACAAACCAATAGTGTCTATATACTGTGTTTATGCATGTCGAGCTGTGTGTCTTTATCATCATCCTTCAAGCTGACCACTGAACTGACTTCATATGATCTTCCGGCCTGTGGAGCTCAATCAACCTGCAACAAACCATGAGACGTCCCGAGAACAGTGGGTTGAGGTAAATTTTCATAACTCTGTTCGAGGCTAAAGACATTATCACTAGCACCTTATCACTAGCAAGAAAGGAACTGGGTCCTCATTGAATGTATTGTAGATTGTATCTGGATAATTAACCTGTAAATTCATATTGAATAGAAGCGGTGTTGACTGTATGGGTAGACAACATTCTACATAGTGGAAATGATGTAGTGATGATCTAATTTGTCTCAGTTTAATTGTTGAATAACCTCTCCGTAAGTAATTTGGGTAAAAAACAGAAAAACTTGGGGGTAAAAATCTACAATAATGGAGTAAATTGATTTCTTAGCTTGACCCAATTTAAATTACTAAGAACCATGAAATTGGTTTCACCATGTGGAACTGTATGAGGAGATTGTTAAAAATTTCTCAAGAAATTAATCTCTTGGAGAAAATGTTGCCACAAGACACCAAAGTGAGAGATTTCATTAAGTGCGTTCTTGTGCTTCGATATAATGTTCTTCGGGTATGGAACAGTAAGTGCTAGTTTCGATATTGAATACATTTAAAGTGTAACCAAATAATTTAAAGCTAGTTTTGGTGATGTTCATTGATGGATAGTAAGAAACATCCTCAAGCAAACAGAAAAAAGAAAAACAAAGTGTAGTTTTATACTTTTAAAAGGAAAATCATGTACGAAAATTGAGGGTTTCGTAAAACTCGAAGTTTGTTAGTCATATGCACTCGATAATTGAGGCCAAATTTATTGATTCAATGAAGTAGCTAAGAAAATTGTTTTGATCCGAAAAATTCATAATGAGACTTTGAGCAATATGAAGTATTATTGGTCTAACAACTTATATTGTGACAATAAAGCTAACCCATAACTAAGCAAAAGTACCAAGATTTTATGATTAAATTGAACATATACTCTAGCTTGATTTTTTTTTTTTTAAAAAAAAATTACAGCATATCCTAAAATGACGGTCGTAATTAATTTTTGTTAAAATTATATTGCACGTTTAAAGAGACAAAAAATATATCTATTGTAGCGTACTTAAAAAAAAAGTACGCGATAACCTGAGTATATACTATAATTCTAATATTGTAAATTAGAATTGAACTAAAAATTATTGAATTTCTTTGAATAATAATAAAAAATTTAAACTTCCATGCATCTAACTCTAGATATAATTTTGTTTTAATTGAAAGTTTGAGAAGTTCATTAAGGATGATATAGTAGACTTGTCATTGTGTATATATATAAAAATAAATTAATATATACTTAAACTTAAGAAGGAAATATGACATCAAATTCAATTAATGTATTAATAAGTAACTCAATGATCCAAATAAAAGTCAAAGAACTTTTCAAAATAATTGCATCATGATCTATACATACACACACATACATACATATATATATATATATATATATATATATAACACAAAGATTTCCCTCAAGATGGGGCACTTCTCTCCATCAATAGTGAAGAAGTTTGCTTTCATTTTCAGGAAAGTTGACTTTATCTTCTTCATCTTCATCATTATTATTATTATTATTATTATTATTATTATTATCATTAATTATTAATTATCCCCATAACCTTTCACTCAACAAGTTTTGTGCATGCGCCCACCACCACTTACAACTTAATTTAATTCCACGTACGGTCTAAAAGTAAGTAAATAAGTGGAGACTTTTTAAAACTATATTATTTTTTATAAATATAAAATAGTTTTTTCAATAAATTATATATATATATATATATAAATAAATAAAATTTAATTCATTTCAACTTACCCATATGCCAAAATTTATTACGAGTCAACGTAATAAATTTAATTATTTATTTATTTATTCTCACCTGCCATCTTATTTTATATATATATATATATATATATTATTTTCACCTGTCTCATTTTACACGTTTTTTCTTACACTAATCGGGATTACTTATATGTATATGTATGTATGTTATGGTGCTCAATTACGTGGGTTTAAATACTAATGTTCTAACTTTCTGCATAAGTACTTCGATTTATAGATCACGTGCCTTAATTATACGAAATGAAATTACGGGAGTTGGTGTGATTTTGTTCGTAAGGAAGACAAAAGAAAGATAGTGTTAGGCGTTGCTGAATAAGTCGTACTTAACGGCTTAATCTCGGGATTTTTAAATTAATTCAATATAATTTAATATAATTTTTAAATTAATTCATTATAATTTTTACTATTGAAAAATAGCAAAAAAAAAAAAACAAATCACATGTTTGATGTGCTTATTAATTTGCATTTTAAGCTGTGTACTTGTATAAATGCATTATTTATTTTTGTGACTTAGCTATAAATGTGTTATAATTGCTAACCAAACTAACAACTATATGCTATTGCAATTATTAACTTTGGCTAAAATGCCACAGTGTTTCCTATACTAGTAATAAATGTCCAAAAGAAATCTTCATGTCTTTTTAGGTTTAGAATTGTCCTTCTACTTTTGGGAGGTGTTCCAAATTCACCCCCCCCCCCCCCCCAATTCTTTAATTTCAGCACACGTGGCAGCTGAGTTTAGACTTTTTATTTTTTCAGTACAAGCGCGACGCGGACGTCCACGCGAACCAAAATGGCCTCTCCCCTTAGCTTCGAGTTTTAACAACTAACTTCTAATTTTGATACCTTGGGACATCACGATAAAGAATCACTATTCAACCTTTTTTAATGAGAATCCATCCTAGAAAAACTTAGAGCACATTTCAAGAGATTATATGGTGAAATCAAGTATCATCTTTTGGTCTTTACTAGGCAAGACATGTATTTAACTAAAACCTAATAAACATAGTCCGTGCGTTTTTTCTTTTTCTTTTTATTTTTTTTTATTTTAATCTACTACTAATTGGTAAAAAGAGCCTTAAACCAATTAAGAGAAAGATCTAAAAAAAACAAAGCTCATTTGTCATAACAAGAATGAAGCTTTGAATGGGTAGCAAAAACGAGAGTCATGGATGGAAGATATTTTAAAGAGAGAAGCAAATTTGTCTAGAGCTTCCACACTTATATAATTGGAGAGTGGTTCAATCCAGACTAAAGTCGTGATAGTTTGAAAATATCTTTGAGTTAATTTCTTATATTTGATATATTTAATTAGCTTTATATATGTTTGCAAATATTTAATAAGGTTAAGGAAATAATTTAGAGTTAAAAAAAAAAAAGATAGATAAGAATGGATAAAAAAAGATAAAAACCTTTTAAATGAAATGGTATAATGAAAAGTGGTAACTATTATATAAAATGACATAACAAAAAACGACAACTTTTAGATGAAGTGACATGTGACAAAAAGTAACTTTTAGATGAAGCAACATCACAGAAAGTAGCAACTTTTAGATAAAGTGGCATGTAAAAAGTGCTAACATTTTAGATGAAGTGACATGTGAAAAGACCTTTTAGATAAAACGATATGTAAAGAGTAGTAACCTTTTAAATAAAGTGATATGATGAAATGTGACAACATTTAGATAAAATAGTATGACGAAATAGTGGTAACCTTTCCCTCATAGCTCCACACTCCTATAAGTAGGAGATAAGAGAATGGAGGAAGAGACATTTCGAATGAGAGAAAAATAGTGAAAAACATATAGGTGAAGGAAGAAGGAGAAGTATGAAGTGTGTGATTTTTTAAAATTTTTTGAGATTTTAGATAAAAACCTTAGGAAAATTCTGCTAGATTTATGAGAGCAGAAAAAGAAGAAGAGAAGAGGAATAAGGCTCATGATCAAAAGCAGTAAACTTTTTCTTAAGTTTTAAAGTTAAGGACCTAAGGTAAGTGGATATTATGAATTCATAACCTATATAGTTTTGAAGTATTTCACGTATTTTCAATATAAAAATATGCACGTATTTTATTTGTCTTCCGTATTTGCTAAATAAGTATTTGTTAAAGTTTTAATTCAATATAATTATTATTTCGCTTTATATTTTCAAAATGTGATTTTGATATATGTGCATCACTCATTATGAAAAGAAGTTGTTCCAAAAGCACCTACATTATGCTAGACTTTAATATGGTCGTACACAACTGTTCCGTATTCTGGTGTATTAGCGAAGTGATAAGTGTGTATACTCTCATATAACCATTTTGTATTCGGGTGTATGAAAAAATAGTCTAATATGTATGCCATAACCGTTTCGTGTTCGGAAAGTAGTAATGTTTCAAGATACTCATATATGTCATTCTGTTTTCGGGTACATGGGGAACTAGTGATAAATATCTGTGCCTACGCATAATATATAGTAACTGATTGATTCTCCATAATAATGATGAAATATACAACACGAATATGTTTTCTGATTTGTGCTTTCGTCTTCTGATTCGTATCTGTTTTGAAAAGATTATATGATATTTGGTTTGTCGTGTGTAAAGATACTATATATTGCATGTACTATGCTGTGATTTCATAATATTGTTTATTGGAATATTTTATCTCATCTCCTATCACCCTCAAGATACTGAAGATACTGCTGCAGAGTGAGCAGTAATATAGAGAAAATTTCTGAAACTTAGACTCTAATATTAAGGTTACTATTTTATGTTTTATATTTAAGGGATGTAATGCTTCTGCAACTCTTCTATTACTAAAGAAATTAAGTTATTTTACTTAATTCGAGTCTATATAATTTAAGAAAGTATGCTCCGGTCATTAATCTATAAGATGGGGTGTGGTCTGTGACAAGTAGTATTAGAGCACAGTTCTAGGATATCCCTTGAATACAAGGCTTAGAGTTATATGAGACTAATATAAAGTTGTGAAACATAGGGAAATACCTCTAAATTTGAATTTTATGAATGTTGGAAATGACAAAGATACCGAAATAGCAGACACATCGGGTTCTAGACGACCGAATCGAGCAGAGTCTAGATAGACTCATGTGTATAGTCGACGACTTGGCTACGGTGATAAGTCAACACGTAGGCCATAACCAAAACACTACTTATGGTAATAATGCTAGTACCAATAACACCTAGC